ATTTGTTGGAACCGCCTCTCTTCACCCCTGCCAAAAATCTCAGGGTTTTATCCGATTAGCTATCTGAACAGTTTTAATTTAAACGTGTGAATCAAAACATTTCTGCAAGCGGATGACATGAGTGATAATCAATTATAGACGTGATTTTCCAAGCAGACAGTTACATGATTACAAGCCACAAGAAACAGCCTGAAAAAGTAAGTTTTCAGTGAAGATGTGAGCAATGGGTTCTTGAATTAAAGCCGTGTTCAAATGTCGCTGGGAGAAATGTTTATTTGCATAGTTATTAGGTTGCAACGTCGTGGTTTTAGAAAGACAGATTTGTCACTGACAGCTCATCAGAAAGGGATGGAACCACCAACATTTTTCAAATGAGAGAAAATGAAGCACCAATGTGAATAAATACGAGAGAGAAGCTTGAAAAAACTCCTAGAGGAAATTATGGTGCAGCTGATTGATAGACGTTCACTTGGTTTGATGTTTTTCTATTTTTAACCAATCAGTGGTGGGCTTGATGGTGATCACCTTCCATTTGACCTTCATCTTAAGATCACATTTGGTTTCTTTTTGGTCAGCACTGGTTCTGGTTTGGAGATTTGCCATTTTGGGTCAATTGCTAAAACTTGTCCTTTGACCTCAGCAGAGGTCAAAGGACAACCAGAACAACCAAGTTTAGAGGTTGTTCTGGTTTTGTGTCCTTCTGGTTGATGAACTCTTGGAATAATTTTAGTTAATTTCTCCAGTTGTGGATTATAAATCTCAGGTTGTTAACTTGCGTCCCAAAGTCTCAGGGTGTTTTCACACCTGATAGTCCAGTGGAGTCGGTTTTGAGACAAAATTTCAACATTTATTACATTTTCGGCTGGTGCAGTTTGCTTTCTCACTGCACTGTGTTAAATGATCCAAACCCTTTGAAAAACCTGTCCCTCCCCTTCCCTGTGGTGGCGCTACACCAAGAACTACTGAAAGAAAATGACACAAAACCCACAGAAGAAGACACTGAGCTCAACTTCCTTTTTCATAAAATGTAAACAGCATGGAGAAGATGGAAAAGAATCTGATTTTAGCGGTAATAGGGTTTTTCTCTTTTGTTGTTGGTAAAAGAGCACAAACCATTCCTCTCTCACATCTTTGTTTTTGTTGTATTTACCCAGAATGCCATGCGTTGTAGTCCACTTCCTGCTTTTGGAGCGGTTTATGGTCCACTTCGCATTCACATATGCATTCGAACTTCACCGGAGTTCACTTCAACCAAACTGTAACATTGGTTTTAGGTGGACCAGAGTTTGCTTACGAATTCACACCATCCCCAAACGAACTGGACTTTCCAGACAAGTGGACTAGAGTTTGACTAAATTGCACTAAACCGGACTGGAGTGAATGCTCGTTTAGAAGTAACTTTGGAATATTTTCCAGATTTTTAGGCGTCAGTGACTTTGTGTGTTGACAGTTAATTATTTGGATGATGTTGCATGTTGAGATCTTTTAGCCTACTTCATGCTGTCAGACAGTCAATATGATTTTTGATTCTACAGATCAGTTCACTGCTGATAACGCTCATCCTTGATGTTTGTCTCCAGCAGTCTTGCTGACTAATTTCTAACTTTTTTGCATTTCATTTAGTAGATTAAAAAACAATAATTTGACAGCAGCTCTTTGTATGTACTCATATTATCTTTGTTTGATAAAAAAAAAATTGGCTTAATGACCTGAATTATTTCAGTTTGCTACAAAAAAAAGCAAAAAATCTGGACATAACTTTTTCACAAAACAATACCCTCAAACTATCATCTTTGCATCACCTTTAGCAAATAAGCCTGTTCATTAGTGTAATTATTCAGCTGTGTTGTTCTGTGTTTTCAGGAGTCAAAAGAGCATCTGAGTGACAACAGACTGTGATAATGAGCCCAAGCTGTCTAAATAAATCCGAATATAATCATGACTGTTCTCAATTAGGAAAATCCCTTCAGCTGTACAGCTGGGTCCAAATATTTCCATATGCAAGAAAAAGACAATCGACACATCAGTCTAGACTGAATATGACCTTTAGGGAAAATTATTTCTATTTGCTTACTACCAGATTGACGAAGAGAGTGTTTGTAGATAAATATTTAAATCCTTGTAAACAATTTGGGAAAGCTGAGGTGGCGATGTCATGGCTTTGCAAGCTTCTGACAACTTTTAAAAGAGAAAATTTGACTTTTTTTCACCTTTAATCGTGTTAAAATGTTATTCCCTCTTCAGAAACACACCTGGAGTGTTGCTTCGATTCATTCATGCAATGTCTGAGAAATCCTTGAACAAAGATTGGGATTTTTTTTATGAGGCTGATTTGTGGTATTTGGCCAAAACAATGAATGTTACATTTTAGAAAATAGGGCGTCGTTTGCAAGCCTGGGAACATGATGGCAGATGTGAAGTACGATAGAGGCAGGATCATGATGTGGGGTTGTTTTGATGCAGGAGAGACAAAGCATTAGAAATGTTGAACATCTCAAGACATCATCTCGTTCAGTTTATTTTACAACAAATGTCATCTCAATACAATTTACCAAAAAAAAAAAGTAATTTCAATTGAATTACACATTCCAATTAATCGCAGTGCATTAAATTAAAGTTATTATTCAGATTGATACTTTTTCTGATTTTTTTGCAATTAACATCAAAGTGTTTGGAAATATTTGCAGTATTTGCGCTTATTTATGTCAGTAAATGTGACTTTTCATGTCTTGCTGTATGGATCATGTATTATAATCTGACGTCAATTAAGGCTGAGGCAGATGTTCAGTACAAGTAAGAAAGTTTTTGAAAACTTTCCAAAAAATCTCCATTTATCTATTAGTGCAAAAAAAGTGAGTAGATTTGTTGATTTTGTGTGAATTTCAACAATAATAAGGGACTGACTGATATAATTTGGCAGTAAACAGATAAAAACTGCTTTGAGTTGATTGATAACAAAATATTTAAGCACATTTAGTGTTTAATCTAGAACCTAGAGGGCCACATAAAAAGCTGTGGCGGACCGGATTTGGCCCATGGGCCTTGAGTTTGACACCTGTGAAATAGACAGTGACCTAAAGCATACCATGAAATTACAAAAGTTACGAAATGGAGTGTAACAATGTAAATGTTTGTCCCTGATCTCAGCGAACCTTACAGCAGTTCTGTCTGAAACAATTTGTTAAAATTTTAGAAAACTACAGTGAAAAATGTAAACATTTATGGAGTTAAACCCAAAAGATTTGATGGAAATTAAAAAATCTCTAAGTATTCCTCTAAAAGATTGGTTTCTACCAGTTTATTTGCTTTAATTCACTTATGTCGCCTCACGTTTTCTCTCATCCCCTTGTCAATATCTAATCTTCACCATCTTTCTCATCTTATTTGTTTATCCTTGTCTGTTTTTAATGTCACTGTGAATTAAGCATCAACCGGACGATTTATATTCAAATTACAAGACAAAAACCCACAGAAAACATAGAGGGACGTTACTTCCCACCATTTTCTTCAAATCCCACAGAAAACAGGGAGAATTTCACCCTTTCTGCCTCGTCTGCCATGTGATCGGCGTTAATCTGGTCCTTAACTGCAGGAGCTGAAGCAACAGGAGAGAGGAAGTGGAGGTAGAACAGAGAGAGAAAGAGATTTTCGTGGAAAAGATGAGAGGAAAGCTAGGAAATCAGCTGGAAAACCAAGAGATAAAGAGATCAAGCAGGGCGAGTGAATAGTGATCTGAAGCTGTTTATATTCCACACAGAGAAACGACATGAATCGAAAACTTGTTCTTTCTTTCCGTACAACGTCCCAGTGACCTTTTCACTCCCTGGCTTACACAACCTGCTACTAAATGCCCGCTTTTCGCTGCATGATGGTAAAACTCCAGAAAAGTAGGACTGCTGAGACAGATGTCAAACACAGAAATCACGGCTAACGCATCCAGGATTAAGCAGAAAATGTGTGTGTGTGTGTGTGTGCGTGTGTGCGTGCGTGCGTGTGTGTGTTCCTGTTAAACACCGGGCCCAGCTGAGGAAATCTTGGTGGTGATGTCTGACTGACTGGATGTGAGGGTGGCTGAGCATCTGCCTGAAACGAGCTCAGTGAAAGACAAAAGAAAAGCAGTCAAGGATATAACATTCATGATGTCTCCTTCATCATGAAGATGAAGGAGACATGAAGGAGACATGAAGGAGACATGAAGTGTCACTTGGTAAATTATGACACTTTTAATGCAAAGTTGAATAAAAAATTCCATTAAAAGTGTCAACTTTGCATTATTCAGTAAATAATGACACTTTTAATGGAAAGTTGAATCAAAACTTGTATTAATCCATCCATTTTCTTTACATGCTTGGCCCTTAGTGGGGTCAGGAGGTGCTGGTGCCTATCTCCAGCTATCGTTCTGGGCGAGAGGCAGGGTCACCCTGGACAGGTCGCCAGTCTGTTGCTGGGCAACACAGAGACAAACAACCATGCACACACACACTTACACCTAGAGGCAATTTGGAGAGGCCAATTAACCTGACATGTTTTTTGGACTGTGGGAGGAAACCGGAGTACCTGGAGAAAACCCACGCATGCACAGGGAGAACATGCAAACTCCATGCAGAAAGACCGGGAATCGAACCCAGAACCTTCTTGCTGCAAGGCAGCAGCTCTGCCAACTGTGCCACTGTGCAGCCAACTTGTATTAAAATTGTCATTATTTACAGATAAACCCTTGTCCCATTGTGGTCAACAGGTGAGAGGCGGGGTCATCTAGACGGGTTGCCAGGGCAACACAGGAACAGACAGGACAAACAACCAGACACACACACCTAAGGAGAATGTAGAGAGATCAGTCGACCTGACAGTCATGTTGTTGGACTGTGGGAGGAAGCCACACATGCAGAAAAACGTCAGGCCGGGAATTGAACCCAGGATCTTCTTGCTGCAAAGCAGCAGTTCTACCAACTGGGCCATCACTTTATATTTCCTTAAATCTCTGGTTTCTGTCTGTGCAGAACCAGGACGCCATCGTCCCGGCCCACGTGTTTCCGACGGTAAACGTCCCGGCTCACGCCCACTACACCATCGGCGTCGTCATCCTGGCTGTGGGCATCACAGGCATGCTGGGAAACTTCCTGGTCATTTACGCTTTCAGCAGGTATCCAAGGCTTTTTCATCCTTGATGATTATTGTCCAATAAGCTAATAATTAAAGATGTATTTCGACCACTCTGTGTGTGTGTGCGCGTGTGTGCGTGGGTGGGGGGGGGTGTGCGTGTGTGTGCGTGGGTGGGGGGGGGTATGCGTGTGAGTGCGTGGGGGTGTGTGTGTGAACAGAAGTCGGAGCCTTCGGACACCGTCCAACATCTTCATCATCAACCTGGCGGTCACAGACTTCCTGATGTGTCTCACCCAGACGCCCATCTTCTTCATCACCAGCATGCATAAACACTGGATCTTTGGGAAAAAAGGTGATGTTCGCTCACAACGCTGTCGGGTTTTACAAGAAATTCATCTTTTATTTCCAGCAGTGTAGAGGAATGAAGAACAGTACAACTGTACAGTACATTTAAACATTTTGGGATAAATTAAAATGAAGGTTTTCAGCAAAAATTAGCATGTTCTATTCTATTCTATTCTATTCTATTCTATTCTATTCTATTCTATTATATGCTTTTTACAAGGAAATTCAAAATTACAATATCATCACAAATTTTCTTCAGCTCTGGAAAAAATTAAGAGACCACTTAAAATGATCAGTTTCTCTGATTTTACTTTTTATATGTTTGAGTTTGAGTAAAATGAACATTGTTCTTTTTTTCTATGAACTGCTCATAACATGTCTCTGAAATTCAAACAAAACTTTAGTATTTATTAGCAGAAAATGAGAAACAGTCCAAATAATGAAAAAGATTCAGAGCTTTCATACCTCAAATAATGCAAATCAATATTTGGTTGAATAACCAGGAGGTTTTCACTGAGCATCAATGTATCTAAAATTTATAAAAAAAAATTCTTTTTCTTTTAAATTGATTCCAGTGATGATCTACTGGGCCAGAATAAAACCCCCTCAGGCAGCCAGACCCGCCCACACTTACAGATAAAATGAATAAATAAATAAAAAGACCTCAACATTAATAAAACGTGGGGTTTGTTCTGGAGTAACAAGTTCTCACTGCCTCGTATCGTTTAGCTTTTTGTTTGTATTCCAGCCGTCATGGAGAATGAAACTGTCTCACAAAGAGCCGTGATTAACGCTGACATTTTCCGCTGAATCTGTAAATGCCATTTCCGTATTTGTGATGCTGTGATATTGGGGCATCTCTCTGCAAGGATCCTGAGGTTAGAGATGAGATTTGTGTTGTCAAACTGTCTTCCTGCTCTGTGATCCTCCACAAAAACCAAAATAAAACTGATAAAGGACCAAAAATGTACTCAAAGTATTTATATGGTGAAATCATGCGTCACAGATCTGGTTTTAATAGTTCTGTTTTACAACCACTAAGGGACTGGTTTTAAATGTGGAAAGAAACTCTATGTAAGAAAAGCTATGAGCATTTAGGTAAAAGAAAAAAACAAAAACAGTTTTGAACACATTTTTATCTGTGCAATTTCAGCTTCTTGTGTCAAATTCAAAAGACATTTAGCACTTAGCTCTGCAAGTTCATTCAGTCTGAAACTTTTTAATTAAAAGTTAAATAAAGATTAACAACCAAAAAGATGAACTTTTTCATCTTTTTCATCTGCGTAAAGTCAGTGCTGTAGGAAGGTGAGTTTAAAGAGGAAATGTAAAGTGAAAACATGAAGATCAGCAGCATGTTCCATTAACCTTCACCTGCTCAGTCTGACCTGATTTAACAAATATTCTCCAAACTAACCAACAAACCAGACCCATTTACCTCAGAAAACATAAGTATATTTGTTGAATGCAATGTTGGATGCGACTCCATTTAAAAATCAGAAATGAGGCTCTTTAAACACATCTTCAGCACTTGTTTGGCCTTGATGCATTTCTGAACTGCTTCAGGATTTTTTATAACTTCTGCAGGCATCTATCAGGTATCTGTGCTTTTGAAAAATGAAAATGTGTTTAAGTACCGTCTTCTTCTTCTTATTTACCAGATTCAACCTTTCAGGTGTAATTAAGGTTCTTTTCGACCAGCCATGTTGGAGCGTTTAAAGCTGCTTTGAACATTTTCCTGTTTCAAGAATATTCATTGTTTTCATTTCCTCCAGCAGGATTATAAATCACAGACAATTAAAGCACAGAACTGTAAAACATTTTAAGGTGGTTGAACTTGAAAATAAAACTCCTGCTGAAAATTGCATTCTCGGAAGAAGAAGTAGAAGAATTTGTGTTGAATCCTTTGTGCTTTTTTTTTTATTTCTTTACATAATTTCCCTTTTCTTTTGTCTAAATTTTATGTTTATCTTTGTTTTAAATCCTAGAAAGTAGAAATAAAAATAAAAAGGTGGCTCTTTAAAATAACACAAATTTCCTATAGTAGATATTCATCTTTCATCAAAACGTTATGTGACATTTGCGGTTTTATTTTGCATGGTTTGTGTAAAAAAAAAAAAAGCTCTTTAGGCTGTAAAGATTGCAAACCACTGAGACGGGGAAATAAATAAACAGAACATGATGTGAGGAAAAGCCAATATTTAAAGCAGTAAATCATTAGTGCTGAGATTTATTCCTACATATTCTCCTCCTCTGCCGCCTCCTGTCCTCCCAGGGTGTGAACTGTACGCTTTCTGTGGCGCGCTGTTTGGCATCTGCAGCATGATGACACTGATGGTGATCGCAGTGGACCGATACGTTGTCATCACCCGGCCGCTGGCCTCTCTGGGAGTCATGTCTCACAGAAAAGCTCTCTGCTTCGTGGCCGCGGCCTGGCTCTACTCCATGGGCTGGAGCCTTCCCCCGTTCTTCGGCTGGAGTGAGCAGAAACACAGACAGGCGGCTGGAAACGTTTTCTCTGAAAGCTTTAGATCCATCCATCCATCTATCTATCTATCTATCTATCTATCTATCTATCTATCTATCTATC